GAGCCCATGTGATCCATTCCTGCCACTCCAACCACATTCCAGAGTCGCTCTCCCTTAGTTTCTCTCCAAGCTTCAGCCAAACGAATCTCCCTTAGTTCCTTGAACACATTAAGCTCTTTCCCATGCTCCGGATTTGCACGTCATTTCCTCTACCTAGGAATGCCTTCACCTCTCTCTTCCGTTGGTTAGTTCTTTTTTATTCTTCAAGGCTCTGATTAACTATCAACTCATTTAGAAAGGCTTTCCCTGATCACCTTATCCAAAGAAGGTTCCCCAAACCCCACCCCCAACACCACCTTTATTTTCTCTCTCTACTGTCTCCATTATAGCACTTACCACAATTTTCAATTCTTTTATTTGCTTTTATATAGTATTCATTTTTTGTCTGGCTACTTTTAAATTGTAAGCTTCATAAACAAGGGCAAGAACCAGTCTGTCTTGTTCACTACTATTATCTCCCAGCACCTAGCACAGTGCCTGGCAAAGTACTATATGTAATTCATAAGGAAATTAGGTCTCCAAGAGTCATTTCTGATACTGTGAAGCTCTAAGGTTGTCTCTACTATGAGCTTAAAGGGCTTCCATACAAGGTTCCCTGTAAACACTTAGTAAGCACTGAATAAATATTTGTATAATGAATGAACAACACTGCGAATGATACCCAAATTTCTGTCTCTATTCCTGACCTCTCTTCTGAACTCCAAACTTGCATTTCTAACTGCTTGCCCGTTATCTCCGCATGGATATCCATGTCAAACCTAACAATGTTCAAAATCCAGATTATCATCTCCCCCACCAACCTTGTTCTTCTTCCTGTATTATCCATTTCAATTATCACCCAATCTTCCAACCACTCAGCTGCAAATTCTAGGTCTTTAACAATCTCTCTCATCCTCCATATTTAAATAATCCCGGTGGTTCTGATTCCCCAAAATTTATTCCCACTGTAATGCCCTGTTTAGGTGTCTTATTATCTTTCAACTACACTACTAAAATAGACTTCTAACTGGTTGCCCTGCCCTTAAAATTCCCCTTTCCAATCCATCTTGTACGCAGCCACTCGAGTTATCTTTTTAAAACACAGAAATGCTTATGTCACTCCCCTTACTCAAAATTCAGTGCCTCAGAATAATAGTCAAATCCCTATGCACAGCATTTCAAATATTTTACAATATGTCCTCAAATACTGCTCTAGTTGCAGCATCCACTATATTCCTCAATGAACCCTTTACTCCAGCCTACCCTGGAGTAAACCTATTAAATGAACACACCAATCTGTTTCAGTGCTCAAGGTCTTTGCTTGAAATAGTTCTTCAACCAGTAATAAACACCCCCAACCCAGTTCTGATCTTCTGAACTTCTCTCTAGCTTTTAAAATCCAACTCAAATGCCATCCTCCAAGAAGACTCTCTGATCCTTTCCCTCCAATCAGAACAAATCTGTCCTTCCCTTGGTGTTCTCACAACACACTGTTTAACCTCTCTATAGCAATTATTTCATCCTGCCTTGGGTGTTAGTTGTGTACATGCATATTTTCTCACTGGTTAAGGTTCGCTGAATTTTTTAATCTTTCTCCCATTAACCTAGCATGATGCTTTCCACAAACTAAGCATTCAGGAAATATTTGCTGAATAAATAAGTAAACCCATTAATTTGCAGAGGAAAAAAAGCAAAAAGCTAGCGATTAAGTAACTTGCCAAAAATTAGACATCTACTTAGATGCAAAACCTAAAAAACTAAAAAATCCTCTGCTAGTTGACTTTACTCTGCCCCACACTAAGATAAACAAAGTGGAATTTCTCACTCCCTAACAGCAAAATGCCCCTGACTTTATTTCAGAATGTTTCTTTTATTCGCTTTGCAAACACGCTACGTTGACCCGTGCGCCCAAGTGAGGAACAAGTACAAATTCTTAAGTCCCAAGGTAATAATATTTAACTTCCAAATGGTGCCTAAATGCATTCCCGAGTCTCGTGCACAAGTGGGATAAACTTTAACACACTAATTGGATTCTTTTCTCTCAAGAAACTTCAGAGGATAAATTCAACCTGCGAAATGCATAGGCTGTAAACACTCACGGCCCACACCCCCGCCTTGGAATGACAGGAGGAGAAGAAGCCGGCGGCCCAGCCCCTCCTCGGAGTCGGCAGCCTTCCTTCTTCTAGACCTAGAAACTGAGTTGACGTATGAAAGAAGATGGTAGCTCCGGGATGAAATATCCAGGGGAGAGTCCCCTTGGCATCCTCTTTCCCCCACTACAACGGCCTTAGCGTAAGGCCCCAAGGTCCGCGGGCAGGCCCCGGCTGCGGGTGCCGTCCGGGAGCCCCCGCCCCAGGGACTCGCAGACTCTGGCTTTCTCAAGACGAGGGCATTCCCATGCCCTCGCCCCCAAAAGCTGGCAAATGAGACGAAACATCGACCCCAAAACCTGTGAGGGGAAGGGCCGAAGCCATGGGGCTTCAGACCGGCCGCTCCCGGGCCCGCCAGATCCGGGAGGGGTGCCCAAGGGGGGCGGTTTCCCTGTCCTCTCCGAGGGCGAACTCGGTCCGAGCCCCCGAGGAGCCGGTACCGGCTCCCTCCCTCTCGGGGACCTCCTAGCCGAGAGGGTGTGGTCTGGCCCACAGGGGAGCTCACCTTCCCGTCCGGGGCAGCCGGCCGGCCGTCAGTCAGTCAGTCCCGAATTCCGTCCACAGACAGCGTCTTCCGGCTCCCGCCGGAAGCAGCGCGAGCGCGGGACAGGAAGTTTGGCCCCACGCCCACACCCGGTCGCTCGCCTCCAGGCCCGGCGGAGCGTGCCCGGTGGGTTGGCCCGAGGGGCTGCTGGTCCGGCGGGGCTGGGGTGGCGACGCCGGGCTCGGCCCCGGGACGGAAGGGGCTGGGGTCTCCTGCCGCCCACTCATTCTCTCCCGGCCTTCGGTAGCCGTGGTCTACACAGCCCGAAAAACGGGGTCAGGTCACCCTAGCCGTGACGTCACTGCTTCGCCGCAGCAGCGGATGGGGTAGTTTTTCCTGCCAGCTGAGGAGATCGGGACTAGTTACAGTGGAGGCAAGCGAGAGAGATCATTCCTTAAACGTTTATCAAAGTTCTCGGTGTAGAGGACCCCTTGCAGCTTCACTGCCCGAGAAGGGAACTTGCAGAACCTAGTTCTGCATTGCGTACGAGACAGAGTAAGAATTGAGACTCGAGTGTAGAACTTTTTTTGGAATATAAATTCCCTAGAGTCTGGGTCCTGTATTTTAGGATGTAAAGAGCTCTCGGATGTCCTGACTGGGGGCTAGAACACGAGTTCCAGGCTGGATGCTAGCACTTGTTAGAGCTTTATGAGTTTGACTGGCTTTTTAAATTTTTGAATATTTGCTGCTTGCCGAAGGATGAGGGACTCTAAGATAGTGGCAGTGGGAATTCAAGTTCTCTTAGAAAGGCATTTTCAAGGTTAAAGACAAGCCTTGATGACTGGGGTATAAATGAGTGAGGGAGTAGTAGTTTGGGTACACAAATAAACGATGCTGATTTAAAAAACAAAGGAACAACACGTTTCAGGGGAAGATAATTCCTCTTTAAAGAAGCCTAGTTTATCTATCCCAGGTGCCAACGGGATATTTACTTGGAGGTTAAGGTCCGAAGCTCAAGTAAGAGGTCAGAAATAGAGATGCAGATTTAGGAGTTAACATACAGAGAAAAGATGAAACTCTCTCGAGATGAAATGATCCAGGAAAAGTATATAAAACAAGAAAAACAGGCCACTGAAGTCAACTGGAGTCACTGATTACTACCACAATATGAATCTACTTTCTCCGAATGTTGCAGACAGAAATATATTGCAGTGTGTAAACAGGTGACCATAAACCAGCACAACACTCAGAATAATATCCTCAATTTTACTGTGCTAAAAGGTTGATTACAATTAATAAAACAAACTTTCATTTAGAGGTACATTAGTAGGCCTTGAACATTCATGTTTACAACCATTTGTTAATTTGCCCAGTCAGTCCTGTCATTTTCTGAAGCTATCTTTGTTGTCTAAATCTTTTTAATCACCTAAAACTCCAAGTGATGTTTATATCTATAATTTGCCCTTGAAATCTTTACAACTATTTGACAGTTATGTGCCTGCTAACCTAAAATAAACATATGCTTTTATCAATATATATGTGAGTTTTTAGGCTATACAGTAAACTATTTGGCAAAACACAAATAGATATCTGTGTAAATCTAGTCTCTCCATCAACCCAACAGACCTCAGTTACTTACCTTCTCATACTACTCCCAACACAAAACCTCTGTTCTCCTATCTTAAAAACTGTTCAACAAGCTCTGAATACCCCCAAACTCTTACACACACACCATGCCATTAAGTCCCTTTTCCATCTACAATATGGAAAAGCCATCCCAATTCTATTATTATGCCAAGTTTCAGTTCAAGAATTATGTAAAGCATTTCTAGCTCAACAAATATTTACTAAGTGCCTTCTCAAGCATTACTTTAAATCAAAGTTATTAATTTTAGGGCCGGCCCCGTGGCTTAGTGGTTAAGTGCGCGCGTTCCGCTGCTGGCGGCCTGGGGTTCGATCCAGGGCGTGCACCGACGCACCGCTTCTCCGGCCATGCTGAGGCCGTGTCCCACATACAGCAACTAGAAGGATGTGCAGCTATGACATACAACTATCTACTGGGGCTTTGGGGGGAAAAAATAAATAAATAAAATTATTAAAAAAAAGTTATTAATTTTAAAAATCTGTTTTGTATGATCCATTAACAGTTGTGTCAAATCTCCAGTGGTTTCAGAATATCTGATAAAAATATCATATGTAATATTAGTTTTAGCACAAGAAAGAAAAATAGATCATGTTGACTTCAATCTATTGTTTTAAATAATCATATGTTGGATGTAGAGTGCATATATGATATTGAAAATATAGGAAAGAATAATGCAACTAAGAAAACATCACCTATGGTCACATTTAAATCAAAAGCTATTTGTACCCTAAGGCTTTTTTTATAATGCATCTTGAAAATCTTTGTGCAAAGTGGAAAGAAATCTGTGTATTTCCTTGATGAAGATCGTTATAGAGATTTCAAAGAGGTTTCTTCTGAAATGCAAACTATCTGCTTTCCAGTGTTACCTCCTGTCATCATGGACTGGAATGCAGCTGGAAAGAGGAAAAAAACTAGGTTATCTGAAAACATAAATGTCATTATCATACATGTTTATCAGTAAGTCAGACACATACAATTATTTCAATAATTTCTTCAATGATTTTAATATTAAGTATAGAAGGAAATTGTCATGAAATCTCAAGTAAAACAATGCCAAAGTTACAGGACAAACTAACCCAATTAATATCTTAAACTGTTTTTACCCAAACTAGAAAAGTTTAATTGGTGTCTACCTCAACATTCACTGTTTACAGAGTCTGAAGACTACAGGCAAATAAGTGTGAGAATAAACTGTCAGCAAAAACAATTTTTATATAACTGTTAAAAACATTAGAAATCTAATCATAAAGTTTTACTAAGTAAGTGAAATACACATCTGTTATGTCAGAAAAATGAGTGAAATTTATATTTCTGTTTAGTAAACATATTAACCAAATATATTAAATTGTTTTTCCTTTCTCGGAAAAAAAAATGTTTGATTTAATCCTTTTCATTTGAAACAAACAAAAAGGAATGCCAAAATGTGTTAGGCAAAAAACAAAAAAACCCTAAATATTGAAAATTTGCTTAATATAATCTTATGATACCTTAGAACTATTCAATCTGAAAAAGTTATCTGGAGGCTAAATGACTTCCATAATTCTTACATTGTTTTTATAAGCTGTTTGAGAAACACTTATTTTATGATTTGAAATGCGAAAACAATACCTCTTAAATACCACCAAGTTGAACTTTCATGGAGTTTGATTAAGATATTTAAGGAAACCTGTAGGACCATTTTACAGGAAAGCAATAAATGATTTAAAAAGAAGAAAACACCATAGAAGTAGAATTCAAAAAAAAAAGGGAGTATATGTGCTGACCACATGTATATTGTGGGAGATCAAGATTTGGCCACCCTGAGATTTATCTCTTTACCTTGATTGTTTTCTCTGAGAGACATTTGACCTCCCCCACTAACTGCCTAAAGAATTTGACATGGTGGCTCCTTCCTGGAACAGATCTTCTATCATGATGGCTATAAAGATAATGTAGGATAGAGGTTACAATAGCAAAGGCACCAAGCCTCTTTTATCAAAAACCTCTGTC